ACTGTTTCAAAATTCCAAAAAGCGATGGCGGAAGGGAGGGGGAGCACGTGCATCTCTACGGGCTTGCGGCTGGGTATAGGTGGCAAGATTAAGTTCTCCCAATTTCAGTACTTGAACTCTGTCTATCCATGAATGAAGCTATGACTTCTGCCCACAGCTCTCCTAATTACGGAGAGTTAATTGCTCTCTATTAATCCGCAAAAGTTATAGCTTTTCAGTCAGAAATTCATTTATTCGAAAACCCCAAGACCGTGTGGAGGATCGCAAGGCAGTCAGTGAAGTTAGAGCGGCTATTTACACACGGGATTCTAATGGATTAATGGATGTTCGATGCCCGTTTCAGGGCACCGGACATTCCATCAATCATACTCTGTGAGGGGAGGGATTGAATATTATCTCAGCAGGTTTTTTGGGATGCTGACTTCTCCCGCATTTTGGGCACTACATATATATCCTTTCCCTGCTCGAGGCAGAATTTTGGGAAGTGCCTTTCCCTACTCGAGGCATAATTTCAGGAAGTGTTGGTAAGATTTTATAAGGTTCTGGTAAGGTGGTAAGTAGGTTGTAAAGGGGGGTCGTACCAGAGGGCATTCACAGGTGGGGTGGGGTGTGGGTTAGCCTGTGATAACGTACCGTGTTCCACTCACCAGCTTCCAGTGCTCCCACTGTAATCATCGCTTCAAAATGATTTGATAGTCGGCGTTGAAGGGGCAAATAAACACTGATAGGTGCTAAACGTAGATAGTGATTTTTGTTCTAATTGCACAAATTTAGCCATTTTCAAGAGAGACACTGTGCTGTGCTAAGGAAGGGCTTGTTGTAACGCTGTGCTAGAAGGGCACAGCTTTCAGCAGGTGTGTGTTCTGAAGGCGAAAACGGACTATGAGCGGCAACGATGATGGTGTGTCTATGGTTGCAGGGGAGCGTGTCTATCTACACATCTACGACTACGAAACTAAGGTAATGAATGGTCGTTACTCCGGTGAAGTGTATTACGTTACTGTGGTTGTTACTATTTTCTTCTTGCTGGCATTTGCTTATTGGAGCGAGGCGCTGGTCTTGTAAATGGAAATAGGGAGCCACTTCTTTGGTGCGCCTCTTCTTTAAGAGCACGAGAAGCAAAGGGGTCCCGTGTTGAAGGCACATTGGTCACCCTAGTTTGGCCATGCAAACTGATCTGGGTAGACGCTTTTTGTCTAGCCGCATACTAACTTTATACAGTTACAAAGTTTGACAATACACTGAAAAAGAAGACGAGTGGTCAAAAGACAGAGGGGAAGATTTTATAACACCAAACTTTGATTGTTTCTTATAAACAGACACATATGTCTATTAAGGAATTTTCCGGGCTCACCACATATCATGGCCTCGTTCGCATATACAACTCGAACACTTGGCCTTCGCGAATATTCTGGTGTGTTGTGGTCCTCTCTTGTCTGTCACTTTTCATGATTCATGTGAGTTTCCTTGTATACGTTCACTTCTATTTGTGAGTAAATGGTTTTCAATGTTAAGTAATTGGGTGCGCCCATATGTTTGCTAAAAACCGCGACTTTAGAACAAATTCGTACGCACCCAATCCTTTAAGAACAACCTGTACACTACATACCTCCAAAGGGAATCGTCCTCAACATGCCAACGAGGGTAATAGATTCCAGCTGCACAAGTTTGAATTTATTCCTTCGCTTTAAGAGTGGCTATCTCCTACTTGGTTATCACTCGAAACCAACTCTATTTCAAATAAAGACTATCGTGGCAACAGACGGTATTTCTTTGCCGGACATCACTCTCTGTAATCACAACCCGCTTGAAATGTCTCAATTTTCAGGTACGTGCTTCTGCTACTGCTTCTAATTAGCACTAGACCGTTACACCTACTGCTGCCATTACAGAGTTTAGGATACAACATGAGCACAAAGGTGCGGTCTTATCTTTTGGCATCTTTTGATGACCACGTCGAGTACGATGAGCTTAACGAGGCACATCGGGATTTTGAGGAGTTATAAGAACAACTATGA